CTCATTTTTTGCTGACTACTTCGCTACATCAATGAAAAATAGCATCAGAAAAATGGGTAGAAAATTGGCAACAAGCAAGGTGAGATCAAGAAGCTGCACAGATCCACTCACCTCACTAACAGATAGAAAAAATCTTAAATCTAAAATGTTAAGATAACTGCTCCTAGCGACCACTATCAGCTTCCATGACCAGAGACTGACGTCGGCGGGACAGATACATGTTTCTGATTTGTTCAGATTTTTTTTCTTGATTATTTACTTAATAGTTTAGTATACAACATTTTAGAAAGACATGAAAAATGCCAATTATACCTTCTCTCAGTCCAAATTGATGTATTCATATAGTTTGTTTTATTAGAATAAATGCATAACATGTAAAGATATTGAGTTTATTGTCATTATACGACAAAGAAAGCATCAGATCCACACATTTGAGAGGCTGGAAACTGAATTGGTTTGGTGTTTTTGCTTAAAAAGTGACTAAAATGAGTCATCGATTATAAAAAAGCTGCTCAATCCCAGCATGAAATCGGCAAAAATGAGGACACTGTCCGGTTGAATGAATGAAGTGAAACGATTCAGTCCGAGTGTCAGATCAATACATTCTGCTTGTAACTGAACTCTATGAATTGATGAGAACTAACAAAGACAATTTCCTATGCTTCAGGCCATGTATGTTTATCCAGCATAATGTGTTTCCAGCAACAGCCATGAGGACCTACATTACTTATTAGCAGGGATGCGTGAAATGACAAGATATACCCCGAGATGATTTAGATCAAGGTAAGTATCACTTTAATATTTCTGGATGTATTAGGCAAATCAATGAGGACTGCTTATCCTAATCCTTACTTCTCATAACAATATGACTTGTCATGTATGCCATTTACTTAATTAACCATGTGCAGTCTCAGCCCCTTCTGGTAATTTCATCTATGAGAAGGTTCTCATTTGAGTCTCTGGAAAATTTATATCACAGTAGCTAAGAATTAATTCGATTTTCAACCATCTATCAATTATTTATTTAAAAGAATCCATTCATTGTTTAGTTTATAAAGTGATAAGAGTGAAAAATGCCCACCATAATTTTAATTTACAAAGATACAAAACAGAAAAGCAGCTAATCCAATCATGTGAGAAGCTGGAACAAGAGAATTGTTGACATATTTGCCTGATTTTGATTGATTCCATTTTCTCTATATCACAATATATATATTGATGAACTTGCATGACAGAAGAAGAAGCATCCACATTATTCACTGCAAGCGATTTACACAGTTTTTGCCACTTCCTGTGACAAAAAGATTCAACACGAGTTTCAAAACAGCAAGCTCATTGAACACTGCTTAATATGGATGAAACACATCCAACACGGTAGTTAGGGTAAAGGTTATGTTAAAAATAAGTGATCACAGAAGAAACAATACCATACAGAGAGAACATAACAGCCTAGAGGCACAATTAAAGAAGGAAAAACATCGGCCACCACCAAGGAAACTGGATTTGTCACCAAGTAGACAATGGAAGGTTTTGTATGTTGAGCAACTCCTGTAGCACAGCGTCTAATCCAAGAGGCAGGCTGGCATAATGGCCTATTTATGAGTATGAGAAGTGGGAGGACCAAGAGGGGTATAATTGTTTCAGGGGAGGGGGTAGCAGTGATTGGGTGTTGTGAGAGACAAACTCACAAGGCAGAACCATTTTAATAATGGAGCGCATGGAGTGAGGAAGCACATGGGCTTTGTGATCATTTGGACACACCGTCACATCAACTGCGCGGCAATGCACTGAGGAGTATCCTGAAGTGCACATCAACATGCAACTCTTTATGACGCATGAAATAAACCCATTATTCTTAATCCATTACAGATAAGAGTTCCCACAAGCACACCCCAATTACCTCAAATTGTTATTGCTTCTGGGAGGCGGGTGTTAAGTGTGGATATTACGAGGGGTTTGGTTGAAAAATAAATTAGAAAGGCTGCTTATGTTCACCATAAAAAGTGTGACAATTTCAGGCATGCAGAATGTGTCCTATCTATTTGGGTACACCAATTTGCCAGTCTGTTTAAGATCAATGCAGTTTTACAGAGCTCTAACCAAAAAATGTCAACGTTAAAGTCCAAATTGAACGAATACTAAAGTACAGTATGTAGGACAGTAAGTAAAGTATTTTTTTGCTTGATATTTTGAATTTTAAAATAGATTTTAGGGAGTAACAGTCATTGCACACAAGCTGAAAGTCTACTTAGCTTCTGCCACTGACATCAGACTTCAAAGGAGAACAAAAAAAATTGTGCAAGAGATTAGAAGAACAAGTGGAGACATGAAAAACCAGCATCTGATCACACCAGACGAACAGTGTTATGAACATTACACAATAACACAGCATGAACATGCAGCTATCGCAACACCAATGAGTTTCATCTTGTTATCCTTACATGGACAGACGCAATAATATTGCTAAATTCCTTAAATAACAGCTACTGGCCTGTTGGGACATGAGGTCAAGAAGTAGAACATTAGAGGAAGAAGATATGACAGCAAAACTGGTAAAGATCACTGTTAGAGCTGCATTCCTCTCAAGTTACTGCCTAGGCAGAAAACAGCTGGAGCCGAGACACAAAGGAGACTGAGGGGGAGGCCATTTCCTTGCTTTTAAGGCTGATCAATAATAAGCCTCATGCAGGAGTGTGAGGAGAACAGTGAAGTAGCCAAGTTTGGCGTCGCTTCCAGGCATGTAGAGCTTCTAAACTGAGCACAGGGAACTCCTTAGACTGCAAAGAGCGTGTTAAGCAGATGCATTACACCTGTCTGTGTGTGTATGCTCACATCATGTGCTTTAATACTTGACCCCCCGAGGCAGCTATACTGCTGGTGTCAGATATGACAGGTCTTTTAATCACAGAGACCCAGTCAGTGAGTCACATTGGGAGATGGGAGTCACCTCTCTGTAAAACAGCAGTGAATCATAAGGCAGATGGATGCACTTCGGGTACCTTATAACCCAAGGATATGAACCAACAGACGAGCGCTCAAAGTGGTCAGTGGAGATGACGCTTTGGTTTCTACCGACTGCAAATGTAAAGGCAGCTTAAAGTTGGGATTCGTTACTGAGCCATTTTCTCAACTGGGTCAAACTGTTGAACTTTTGACCAACTGACTGCACTTCTGTGTCAACATTTACATTCCACAGGGAGAAATGACAATGAACATGAGTGGAGCTGCATTCCAGTCTTCACCTATTATACAAGGTGACATGAACTGTTTAGGCCACAATGGAGGGCCCAGCAGGAGCAATATCCATTTAGAGTAAGGTAGTCAGATGCTACCTAATGACTGCCGAGAGACAGGGGCAGGATGAAATTTGAATGCAGACATAAACGCTCTCCACTTTAATGTTTACATTACTTGTTTTTGGTGCCATATAATTGCTGCTGTGGTTTATGGATGGAGAAGTGTTTTCTGAATGTAGCTGAGCAATTTGACAATAAAGCAGTTTGCTTATCTTATTCTATGATGTGTAATAATTTTATTATGCACTATAGCAGCAGAACAGCGTGCTGTCATGGTGATAAGTATGTTTGTGTCTGACAATAATTCTTACACCACAGGTATACTAAAGAGGTACAATGAGAAAACAGATGCCATTTCTTCCATAGCAACCTGCCTATGTATTATGTAAAGTATGTTATCATAGTAGTCTTTGCTAATTGTTGCATTAGTTTAATTAATGGCCTCATTAGCAGGGTATGTTTAATGCACGACTGTGGCCGGAATTCAGGCAGCTCAAGTGCCTCTTGTTACTGTTGTAATCAAAGTTACCGTGCAGAAGTATGTGCAAAACAAATACAAAACTCAGACCAACCCATGTGCCTGAGCTGAGATATATTATTACAGAAAGGGCAGCGCAGTAAGATTCAGATAAAGAACTAGTCACACAGGTTATCAGCGTTGCACCACCATACTTCATCTCATGGTCCATAATGAAACACACATTTGTCAAGCTCTAAAATTACAAAGTTGGCCCTTGACACAATTGGAGTGCTACTCTGTTTAAATGTGAAGGAAGGAGGAAAAAGAATTTTAAAAGAAATCAGGCTAGAGAAGCTCCAACCAGCAGCGGTGGCTTCAAAGCATGTAATTGCCAACTGCACAGGCTGTGACAGGATGTGGAATTCGTAGACATGAAATTTCCACAGAACAATTTTGTTCTCGGTGCAAACCTCTGCACTCCCAGAGGGAGAAAAATAGTAGGAGAGGGGGTGAGTTTAAAGTGTTGTCTGTGGAATGCATGACATGATATAAACAGCACATGCATTTGCAGCAGCAGGGTGGCCAAGTGGTTATTGTGCAGCCCATAGGGCAGAATTCACCCTGCTTAAGTGCCTTTGAGTAAAGACACTATTACTCTCACCTCAAACCTTAGTTATAAACACAGTGTTGTTAATATATCGTACTTATTTTTGTATAATTGTGTTTTGGTTTGGGCACATGCAGAATAATATTTAGCCACTGTAGCCAAACAAGCAAAACAAAAGAATCAACATGGAGTGTTTCAAACAGATACAAAAGTATGTTGTTGTCATCTGACCTGCTGAACTATCCCAACTTGTGAAAATTTTCTGTAAGGCAGCCACATTTGTACCAGGTACGACTAGGCTTTCATTACCACCAGCGCACAACAATACTTTTTGATACACACACTATCGAGTTAATCACTTGCAAAGGTCACAAAAACCTGCTTCAAAGTCTCATGTGTGCCCCTGTGGTTCAAACACCACTACAACAGCCACAGGCGGGGAGTTATTTCTGGGTGAGAAATGCGATTTTATGTGTTAGAAACAAGGGAAGGGGGCAAATAAACTAACCGGCAGCCCCCAGAGAGGTGTTTCAGGGTCAGCATTTACCAGTCGCCTTTGTGAAACTAGTAGCCGAAAACACCAAAATGTAGCCGGGAAACACAATGAAGGTGAAGGGATTTGTGCCGCTTTACCCACCTCATTGTTCTGCCAGAGTGGAGATCCTCTCCTCGTAGGCAAGTTTGGCTGACTTCAGAGCTGAAGCCCGGCTTTAAAAGTCAAACCGGTGAAATAAAAAAACGAGAAAAATCGGCGACAAAAAAAGCGCATCTACACCCGCAAACGGGGTAGCCACCAGCGGGATAAAGAAGCACACCTCGACGATTTCCTGGTTGTGTGGAGCGGGAGAGGAGGAGGGGTAGGAGGGGGCAGAGAGGAGATACAGTAGTGGAGCGGGCTTGTCAACTCAAATCACTATCCCACATTTGTTTCTACGAGCGAAAGAGGTGAAGCCGAGGAGAAGGGTGGCTTCAGCAAAAAAAACAGAACTTCTCTTGTCAGACTTTGAGTCGGTTTACCGCTCTGTTTCTAGAGATTAACCCCGTATGTCTGCGTCGGACTTTCCTCCGCTCCCTCCCTCGGTCGGTTGGTCTGTCGGTAGGTCTGTGCAAATTCATTGGAGTCTGGCCCAACCCGCCAGCTTCCAAGTAGGCTACAATCCTGCGACGCGTTCAGGTCCGCCTCGTAAAAAAGAATACTAATTTTTTCACTTTCAGTGACTTTTGTTGTGGGTGATTTATTTTAGAGGGACTTAAATTAGAACATTACAATCAGCGGTGGACTGTAGTTAAAATATTCAGTACTATAGGTCTATAAGTACTTCATCATTTACATTATCTGCTAGGCTACTTACTTCTAGTCTGCTACACTTCAGAGAGAAATAATGTAGTCTACTTTTTCATTCATTTAAATGGTAGCTGTAGTTACTCATTACTTATGAATATAGCTCATAAAATATGTTGCATTGTCATCAACTAAATTATCCAACTGTATATAAAGTAGTTAAAATGAGTTTAACCTCCACCACCAACAACACAAATTGCCTCTTACATTAATGTCAGTAATAATCAAATGATATATAACACTCACATGGTCCATTCTGCTGTCTAATGTGTATTTTTACTTTCAGTATATTTTGTTATTAATACTTCCATACTTCTATTTAGAGCACTACTAGAGTTACTATTACTATTACTAGAGTAATAGTGTTTAACATTTTTATGTATTTTTACTTTAATTCAGTACTTCTTCTGCCACTGTTGACAACAAAATACTTCACTGTAATACCAGCTGTTAAATCGGGTAGAACTTCACTCTAAGATCATCACCAAACTGGAGTTTCAATATACATATACCAGTAGCTTCCTAATTCAAAACCAGTAAGCAAAGCCTACTAAATTATAAATCAATTACTCACTCTCTCATGAAGTAATTCTTCCTCCTCTTCTTGTATTTTAGGCATTTTAGTTGCTTGAATGTGTAGCCTATTACTGTAAAGAAGTTTTTAAGAACTTTATCTACTTACACCCTGCGGAAGCAGATGTCACAAATAAAAATGACATACAAGTGGAAAGATCAAAGCACTCCCAAAACATGGGGGTCTTGAGCTCATTTTGAAGTTGTTGAAGATCAAACTTTAGGAACAACATACTCAAAGGCATGGTCTTCCTTGACTGCAATATATGCTGATACAGATCTGTAGTAACTCAGTAAAGTAGATGGTTGTCTGAATTGATGATCAGGCTACCAGTGAGAGGTGAAAATTAACACATGCTCCTTTCTAGCCCAAATAGACATAGAGGAATAAACTAGTAGTTGACAGCACAATTTTTTTCTGATAATTTGATGATTTCTTGAGATTTTAAGAAGAACTTGTTCTCTCTCTCTCTTAACATGGCATCTATATCCTAGGATTATGTGATGCTGCACGTATTCCAAAGTGGTCATCTGAACCCATACCTTACTTTGCTTGCCATTTTAGGAACAGCTAAACATGTTCTGATACCTCATCCGTATGTTTAATACATCCAGGCACAACAACTTGCTGGCTCCAAGTCCTGTAACCACAGGGCAAAAACACACACACGCTCCGAAATGCACAATCCCCTCCTAAATATCATATTTGGACAGAAATATCCCATATTCTAAATTGGTAGTTGAAGTATTTAATTTCCAATAGCGCATGAAGGCAGCATCTCAGCCCAGCCAGAGGCCTGCCAAGCCCTCCACCTCGCCCTACTAGCTGCCTGAGTTCAAAACGTCAGGTTTCTATTAGCTACTGTTGCTTTCGTGGTTATTCTATAGATAGACTCTCTGTAGCAGTACATGAGCACTGTTTCTGGAATCAAATAGCTTAAAAAAAACAAAACATGCAGAGCTTTAATTCAAACGATAGCCTAGATAATAGAAGAAGAAGCAACAGCACTGGACTTTTAGAAATCCTTTAAATAACCTGTGTGAAATGCTGAGGTAATGGTTTCTAATTCTGTTAACAGAGAATTGAAAAAGAAGTTAGATGCCTCACATGGCCCACTTTTCAACAATGAGACAGTGTACACACTAAAAGCACTCCCTCTTCCTAATGGGGACAGAAGTGGAAGAAAGGATGAGAAAGGAATGCATTACGTCTGCATGGCATGTGTAAACATCCAGAAAGCCAATATGCCTTTAGTCTCACCACACACACTCTCAAGACATACAAGCTGACTGCTCTGAGCAACTGTTAGTCTGGTATTTATTTTTTTTTTAGCCACGTGTCCCGTGTTAACTCTGCTGTCCACTCAAACTGTCAAGTAAACCCAATTTCTTTTTCGTCACTGCAGTTTTTTTAAGAACAGCTCCTGAGGCGTTTGTGTGATTTGTGTTGGCTCATCCTCAAAAAGTCAGTCTTGTTCCCAGAAAGTAGCCCGTAAAAGAATTGGAAAGAGTCATGCAGTAATTTTAGGTTTCTCCTGCGCTCCTCCTACCACAGCTTTATTTCCACAGCTTGACGTCAGTCGGTCGACACCGTCCACAGCTGGCAGCCTGACAGAGGACCTGCTGGACAGCAACAACGAGGCCTCATGAGACTTGGAGGAGTGTGGCTATAACAAGTGTTCAGAGGTGCTGTTAAAGGTTTAAACTAAATAAGAGATGTCTGAAAAATGGAAGGGGGACAAGCGGCTGAAGAAGCACACAACGGCATGTGTTTGACATAGTGGATGTGCTTGGTAAGCCAGGCTGAATTACACTTCTGTGTTTCTCTCTATGCCTGTGAGTCTGTAGAGAGGTTATTATGTAAACAGACTGCACATCTACTACATCTTATATCAGAGAGCCCAGGACTTGTTGAAGAATACAGTCCTGAGGCAGCGTCTGAAAGCCTCAGTCTGCACTGTTGTTTGAATAGCAGATGGAGAAAGAGAATAACACAACTCAGTTTTAACCAAGGAAAAAATGTGTCAGTCTGGATCCTGAGACTGAGATTAACTACTAACTATTCCAGAGTTTGGTAGAATTTTCAAGGACATAAAATTCAATGTGTAAAGTATTTTAACTCTCACTCTATCTCTTTTTTTTTTTTACAGGGAAGGAATGTGACTGGAGGAGGGTAAAATTTGCAAACCGGAGTGAGACACAACTATTCACTAAGAGGTCTGGGCTGGAGGCCAGCTAAGCAAAGGGCAGCAGTAGGATTTTAGAGACAGTCCAAGTGACATGTCCTGAAATGTACGTAGGCCTTGAACTCCTCCTCACAGGGTAAATGGGACAATTAGACACCAAAAAAGTAACCAGGTTTCTGACCTCATAGTGGAGAATACGAAATAAAATTGAGCAATTTTCTGAATTAAGAACTTAAACCTCTGTTTTCATCTCTATACCAGAGCATTGTGCTACTTATCATATGAAAGGTAAATCTGCTGGTGACACATATCCATGATAAAGATCAAAATGAAAAAGGCCAACTAATGACCTAATGATCTTTAGATTAGGTGTTGCTTTCAAGACCCAGTAAATGTGTTTCAGTTTTCAGGACATGCTGTATAATTACATTAAAATGGCTTGTCATATAGGTATATTACTTTTATAATCCACTAGATGGCAATATACCCCTAATATATTACAGACAGGTGTCGCTCACACTTTGCAGTTTACTGGAAACTTTCTCTATGTGATGTTCCATTTTTGTTTCAACATCAAAAACAGCAGAGATGGTTGTAGTTGAATCTGTAACTAACAGGTCAGAATACAGAAGATTATGATGCCACCTTTCCTCAAGAAGATGATATTGTTATCCTAAATGTACATCATATAATTATAGCATTGAGCCTGAGTCTTGTAGCTACAGTTGAAGACATTTAGGGAATTTGGGGTTTTACATGACTTCAGTAGTTGTGTACATTCTTCTGTTGCACACATAATCATACATGTTACAAATTGTGATTTTTTTTTTTTTTTTAGCCTGATTCTGATATTTCTTTTGGTTTAAATATCTGACAATTTATCTGTTTTTAGGCAAATCACTTAAAGAGATGGCATGGATGAAAAGTCTTCAATATGATTAAGAATATTAAACATTTCTAACATTCATACAGTCGAGCCATGACAACAAACTCTTGCTGACGAAAACAGTGTGATATGGTCAAAAGCTCAGAGTGAGCTAGTGGACATTGAGATGAGACTGTTTTTCCAGCTGTTACCAAGGTAAAGAATGAACTGTCAAGCTCAACATAATAATTTGCAGAAAAAGTGATACAATACAATTATTTTAAAAAAAAATAAGCTACAATGATTTTAGTGGGCAGTCATTTGTTTTTTAATTGGGTGGGATTTGCTGGGGACATTTGGACTCATGATGGAAAATATGGCCCTAGGCCTGTAACATCACCGCTGATTACACAGACATGTAGCCTAATAACAGTCATTATCTCCTAGTAGATGTTAGTAGCCGATGTGAAATGTAGGATGAAACGTAATTTTAAAAAATCAGCACACCTGATACTAGTTTAGCCCACTTTCTATCCCATTACAGCAGTGATTGTTTGTAAATAAGCCCGGGTCACACGCAGCAGCTCGATACACCCGATCCCTCTTGTTTTGGCTGCCATTGAACGTCTCATTGCAGCTACTGTCATTCACACTTAAAGGCAGAGAGATGAGTGAAGGCACTGTTTGTGTGTTTACGAAGCTGAGGCTGATACCCTTTCCTCTTGCACCTCCACTCTCTCCACCTGGCCTTGGCCGACTCTGACACCCGGACCGCGGCTCTGCTTGAAAACAAACTGCGGCGGCGGCTCCGGTTACCTGGCCCCGATCGATGCGCTGCAGGGTGTCGCGTTGCCGGGAGGGTTGAGTATCGATGCATGACCGATCGCTATCATAATCACACTTCCCCCCTCTTATCGCTTACCTACTGAATAAAACATCTGCCTTCCTGCTCATGGATCACTCCCCCCCCGCCACCTAAAATCTGGAGGGAGAGGAATTCATGAAGTGTCTTTGAGATGAGTGAAGTAACATGAGAAAAGCGCATGATGATACCCAACAAATGAGGTCCCCAAAGTTGTATTTATCGCAGGCATCTTCAAACAGACCCACCAGCTATTTGACAGCACTTTGTCCTAGGATGCTGCACTGGTCATGTCAAACAGTAAACTGAGGACAGTCTGTGTGCTTAATGTGGCAGTCATAATTCAAAACTGTTCCATTTAACAAGCACAAGGTTGGTCCAAGACTGTTTGAGGACCTACAAAGGATTTATATGGTAATCCAGATGTGGCCACCGGGCCCCAAGTAGTTGCTCACTTGGCTTGATGTGAAATCAGAAACTGAACTGGGGATCCGTTGGTCAACAGGATTATGTTTTATATCTAGTTTGATTTAACTACATATCACCTAGTTATTACACCCAGGGACACGATAGTACCATCAGATTATGTATATACCCAAGATAAAGAATGAGCTTTCATGCTAAAATGCTAAAGATAGTTATTAGTTAGCTCATAATATTGTGTATTTCACCGTTTGCTTTTCTTTAAAGTGCAAAACAGAAAATCTATAATAAAGATTATTTTAGTTCAGTATCAAAACTATGAAAGTAGTGAGGAGATGACTCATTTAGGGGCCTCCTGGTGGCCACGGGGCCCTAAGCAGCCCTGTTTCCTTATGCCTTCACCTGCCTATGCAAAACCTTCCAGCTCCTGCTACATGATCTCTCTCAAAATTTTAGTGGAAGTGAAGATTTGCCTGAAGCGACAGAGCAAACCATTACAGAAAGGTCATAAAAGTTCACTACATTTCAAATTCAGGGCTCAGACTGATTCTCCTCCTTCTCACCCAGCAGGCTGCACCTGAGAGCTGTAAATTAGTGAGGCCTTGTTGCCCACACACAGATACTTCACAGGTGCTGGCCGCAGGCGCGCTAGAGTTAACAGTGGGAGTAGTAACATGTCATGTAACGTTAGGTATGAAATGTGAGACATCAAGATGTTAGGACGACAGAGTACTGTAGCTGGAAGGAAAATTTAGGCTACAGTGAAAAATTAGATTTTATGAGTGAATGCAAGATGCATCCGCTCACTTCAAGGAGTTGTACTCTAAATATAAGGACTACAGAAAAACCAGAGAGGATGTAAACACTTAATCAAAGATCGATGCCATTCAGCTTTCCAAAAATTGTTAAATACACAGACAGGCTTATATTTACTCACTCAATCAAAATCCGGTACACTTGACCACTAAATCTGAGAGCACCAAAGAGCAGAGGTTAGGTGCCAACTGTTAGAGAGAGGTAAGGCGAGACGAGCTGTCGAGCTATTAAGACAATTAACAAAGTGGTCAGGAGGGGCCGAGCGGCAGAGAGGAACAGCCTGAAATGGAGAGAGAGGAGGGTGTGAAGTGACAGTCAGCGCATCTGGTCTCATCAATAATGCAGTGGGCCTTTAAACGGCAGTTTGTCGCATATTGAGCGCTGCTGGCTGAAATCAAGCCCGACACTTTAGATCCTGTCAGGGGAGAGTGAAAGGGTGACAGCGGGAGAGGGCGGGGGGAGGCTGGCAAAAATACCCAAGAAAAGAAACATTTTTGCCAAAGCTTTCTTCAATACATGTGATGTAGTGGGTATTGAATGAGCTAGACAAGACAGAACTATAATATGTAGGGAGAAACTTAGAAGCTAAAAGCAAGTAAATACCTGCACAACTCTTGAATCTATTGATCACTTTTATTATTAAATTGAAAAAGACAGAAGACTTTTGTAGACTAAACAAAATCAGGCACTGTTGTACCTTATCGACTCTCAAAATAGTAGAAACATCCTTTTTGTTGACACTAAATTTCTGTCTCAACTGTGAATTCAGTTATCAGCAACAAAAATGTAAAACAAAGCTCACAATAATGACAGTCCACTGGCTTCAAATCTTTCAAATAAAGAAAAAGAAAGAAAAAGGCCTGAGTGACTGCGTCAGCTCGGCGTCTAACAAGCAGTTCATTTTCCTGTGATCAGAGGATTTCTCAGCACAACGATGACAGAGTCGCCCCTGAGGAACATCTTAGAAATGTAGCGGTCCTTATTCACGGGCTTAGACTTCTTTTTTCCCTTCCCGCTCTTGGGAACTTCCGTCCACATCTCCTTCACGTTCTCCAGGACCATGTTGCAGTGCCTGCAATAGCAATGCGAGCGCAGATTTAAGGTTATATAAAAGAAAAGCAATAGTATATAGCGTCAGTGCTTTATTTTAATCAAAACATCTATATCCAGAAATTATTCAATTTGTAAAGGATAAATTCAATACCTTTAATAGCGTTTGAGATCATTAAAAGGACCAAATTCCCGTTTTGATATTGATAAAAACAATCACATTTTCACTTGAGGAAACAGATGTCATTGTACTAAACTGTTTCTTGATGCATCAAATGTGTCTGAAATTGATATTAAAAATAAATATTATACTATACTATACTAATATTGGAATCAAATAGTTATAACTCTTGAATCTATAAGGCAGTGTAATATTTTGTAATAAATAAGGACAGGTGCTTAAAAAAGCAGTGTTTTTAAACTTCAGAGCAAATACAATCCACTGAAGGACAGTAAACTCACTGGGGACATCAAAAGGACCATAAAAATTCAGGTTGTTGATATCAGTAAAATTGTTATCCCTATTTGAATATATTAGCATATATACCAAGTACAAAAATATCGATATAATATAACAGAATACAAAATAATTAATTTACAAGTCTTCTATATTTACAAAAGTATAACATTTAACGTTAAAAACCGGTAATGTGATACTTTGCAATCAGTCCTGTTGTTTCATAAATCAGTGACTTTGTTCTGTACCTGTCAAAAGCCTTGACTCTTCCAAGCAGCTTCTTGTTGTTGCGGCAGTTAATGAGGACCTGTGTGTTGTTTTTGACTGACTGGGTGAGCACAGACAAGGGACCGGTGTTGAACTCCTCCTCCTCTCGTTTCTGGAGCTCCTCAGGGGTCATCTCAGACTTGGGCTTTGTTAACAAACTCCTGAGGTGTGACACAAAGAACACTAATTAAAATGGTGACAATAAATAAGTGAGCATGATGAGAACGGCATGTTGGCATTCATATAGTAAGAATATTTTCTGTTTTCATTTGATATTACACCCATTAAGTGTTAACAAGGACTTAATAACTTTAACTTACCAATTATATAAATGATTCTTAGATTAATCATTGAGTCTACATCAGAAAACAGTGAGTCTAAGATGATGTCTTCAGGTGTTTTGTTTTGTCCAACACCCCAAAATATTCAATCAAATGATATAAAACGGAGAAAAGTAGGAAATATTAATATGTGTGAGGTTGAAAACACCATTATTTTTCTGTCAACTGACTAATCCACTAATCACACTATTGCTACACCTTCTCAGTATGTAGAAAATGTTCTGTTGTGTTTTGATATTTTTAATGTGGCAATTTGTTGGAAGTCACTGTTTATTTTGTTATTCTTTTCCCTGTTACTTATAGAACAAAAAACAACTTAATTTATCATCAGAGGATCCAAACTTCTTCCCCAAAACACCTACAGAAAATATTACTATACATTAGTCTTGTGTGGAAAAACAAGACAGAAACATCACTTTTTGGCAAAGACTGTAAGATGTAAAACCTCACCATGATATGTATTATTTTACTGATATTAATTAAAACGTAACTAATCACAAACGGGGAAACAGAGTCACTTCGGAGCTTGATGTTAGCATTTGACTAACTAGCATATAGCAATGCTATTGTGTGACTTCTGACTCGTAACTATTGGCGTCACAGCAATTTCACAAACATAAATTAGGCTTTATATTTCTGTTATTTTATATTGTAACAGTAACATAAGTCGCCCAGAAAATACATCGCATGGTAGAAACTGCATACAAAGGATTTATGAACTGCAGCTAAACGGCCTCGCTAGCATTGGTGACTCTCTCAAATGCTAACTGGGTAGCATTGTTGCTACTGGCGGCTGCGACTCAGAGTTCAGGCTCTGAGAGTCAACCTGACCATTCCCTCAAAGACCGACTGATCATCGTTGATACTTACATGACTGATGATTTATAATATCTGTTTTCTCAGACCGTGTCCCGCTCGTCTCCACCGGGTGCCTCCGTATCTTCAACGATTCACGCGTGAATCAAGCTGCTTCCGGGTCAACTAGTACGCGCTTCTATCTGCCGGAATTACAACCGGTTCATCACGGTTCTCCTGAAACTGTATCAAACACAAGAAGTAAACATTTTCTACGCCAGTTTGTGTTCATCAAGATGCATCTGATGTATATTTTGTATTACAGGCTGCTGCTAAAGGCCGACAGTGCTGGATATCACACGTACTCTACTATTTTGAGGGTTTTGCTCTCTGGTAGCCTAAATGTTATTCTACTCTGTAGCCTCCACTACATTTCAAAGGCAAGTACTGTAGTTACAACCATTATTTAACAACTCTTGTAAATTATTTTGCAGATGAAGAATTCAGAAACTTACATTGAGAATATAAAACACAATATATTTAACCATAACCTATATAATAGCTGATCTTAGCTGAATCCTGACCATGATTAACCTCTCTGGGGGCCCCGAGGACAAAACTTGGGCCCCTATTGACCCCCACTGTACATGACAGTTTCATTATTCTACCAGAAACCCAGAAAACAACCAGCACTTTACAACTGAAATGACTATCAATCAATCAATTAATTGCTTGACTCATTTCTTATGCAAATATGACTTACTTTTCAGATGTGTATTTGTTAGTTTCTTACATCTTCTCTTGTATTTTTGACTGCTGGTCATGCAAAAATGCATGGGCTTCATAGAATAATAATGGGCCTTTTCCTACAATTTTCTGTCATTTTACAGACTAATCACTTAGTTATTAAAGAAAGAAAAAGAAAGAACCATCTGTCACACCTATTTACAATGTAAATAATTGTTGGTTGTAGCTTTACTGTACTCCTATGATGGACTCATATGACATTGCCTGAGATTTTCTGTGTTAATTATCTGACACAAAAAAATAGAAGCAGCCTGGTAAAACACAACTTTACAACAAATGAGCTCAATGTAAACGAGAACAGTTAAGGTCTTAAAACAAGATTTAACACAAGGTCCCTCTACAAGACAAGGCTACAAGATGGAAGGCCAATCTACCTTAGTCATGCAAATTTCAAACAAATTTACAATTAATCAAATTATATAGACCTATATTATATGGGGTAAACCTAGTGTCCCTTGCAGGCTGCCCGCTGAAATGGCTAGAACATTAAATTGCTGACCACAAGTTAATATATCAGTTATAATCAATGTTGGGGAGTAACTATAGTTATATGGGATTACATATCAAATTGCAAAATAAATGTAATTGTTATCTGTTTGTCAATGAGAATTTTTTTTTTTAATTAAATTAAGATGTCAAGTTATCACTAATCAAAACATTGGTGATTACAAAGGGATTACATCTAAATATATTCTTTTCGGTAAAAAGCTTACACGTAGAAAATAACATTCATTCTGTTGCTTTGCATCTTCATATCTTCAGATGATGTGTCTCAGATTGGTGATAGGTGTGAGATCTCACTAACACACTCACTAACTTAACCGACATTGTGTTTTCATACAGGGCACCAACAGACTGACTTAATGGTGCTGAAAAGTCATTTAAAAAGTAATCAAATGTAATAAGTTACATTACCTCCATGAAGGAATTGAAACAGTCACATTACTTAATACACAGGATAATTAGTAATCTTTAATCTTTTACATTTCAAAAGTAACCTTCCCAACACTGATTATAATAATTCTAGCCTCGTTTAACTTTTGATACTGTAAGTACAGTTTTCTGATAATACAGTGTGTACTTTCATTCAATTTTGAATGCAGGAATCAATACGTTGTGACAGGGATTCAACAAGATGCTGGAAATATTCCTTTCAGCTGTTTATTAGACAGAGACAGTAGAGAATGACAGAACTGCAGGGTAGAGCGAGGGGATGACAAGCAGCAAAGCCCAGGCGGGATTGGAACCCAGGCCACTGCAGTAAGGATTCAGCCTTGTTTATGGTACACGCTTAACCAGGTGAGCCACCAGGGTGCACCGAGCTTCTAGTCCAATGTCAACATAATACCATCACATAATGTCAGCTGCACACTCATGCTGCCAATCTCTTTATTTAGCCAGGCAAGACATTAAGAACAAATTCTTATTTACAATGGCGGCCTGGCAAAAGGCAAGAGCCTCTTGAGGAAAAGGGGGTAGGGACTGAAAGGGTATAAAGTTAAAAGACAGCAGCACACAGAACAAACATTACATAAAAGACATACAGTCCAAACATAAGCATCTACAAGATTCAGATGTGGTGATTGAGCAGGCCATTCAACCACAGTGAATTCACCGTCGCTGTTCTGGAAACTGGTTTGAGACAACTTTTGCTTGCATTGTGCATTATCATGCTGGAAGTATTCTTAAGAAGATGGTAAACTGTGGCCATAAAGGAATGCACACGGTCAGTAACAACACTCAGATAGACTGTGGCGTTCAAACCATGATTGATTGGTATTAAGAGGCTGCGGGTGTGCCAAGAAAACATTCCCTACACCATTACACACCAGCAGCCTGGATTGTTGACACAGGGCAGGTTGTGTCCATGGATTCATGCTGTTAATGCCAAACTCTGACCCTACCACCTGCATTCCTCAGCAGAAATTCCGACCTACATCTGCATGATTTTATGCATTACAGTGCTGCTAGGTGATAGGCTGATTGGATAATTGCATCAATAAGCAGGTGTACAGGCGTTTCTACTGAAGTGCTCAGTGAGTGTACATTAACCACATTTCTGTTGCAGAAATTTTCACAGGGAAAGAGATGGCAGAGGGAGCAGCCAAAGGGATACCGCAGCCCCAAACAGGTAAGTCTTTGTTTTGCTCTTTAACACAACAAGAGCGAGGGGAAAGTGTGTGAGAGAGAGATGGGGATGTAGGCTACATTATCTACACAGCAGCAACGAGACATTGAGAGATTGGCTTTCTGGCAAGAGACAGACAGACGCCTAGGAGTGTACAACCCACCCACCTTATTTCAAAGGGTGGCAGATCTACCTGTGGAAGCCACTAGCTGCAGATAATGGCAGCCTGTGTGCTGTTGAGAGAGGCGAGTGTAGGGGGATTGATTTCCAGAGCTGTACTATATCTTTATGAAGCACACCTACCTCAGCCAAAAGACTTGCATCTTAAACTGTGGAGCAGCAGGCCTGTAAAATGAGCTCAAAGTGGCTTTAGCTTGTGCATGTGGTGGGGCTGCGGTAATCTGAAAACACCTTTGCAGCTGCCCAATTAAGAGAGCAGAGATTAATATACAACCATTAAAATCGGATGGCCAAGAAGCTTACTATGAAATAATTGATAATGAGGATTACATTATTAATTACATTTTCAAATGAACTTTATTTTTTATGATTATGGCCTAAAGATTTGCTGTATGGGACTGTATGAAAGTGATTTGGGTGGGGAGCAGGGCTGAGATAAGCAAACTCCTCCTCTGCAATATCAAAAATTTCTTTTAACTCTCCCCCTTGACTTAGAAAAATGATAACACCCCCCCCCCAAAAAAAAGAAATCCTTTTAAATAGTTCACAGACATTTAGCTTAATTATAAGAATAAAATAAAATATGAATGTGATTATAAAGATTAAAAGATCCTACCCTGCTTTCCTGAAATATTTTAAATTACTTTTCTTTCTTTTACTATTTCACTGTATATTGATTTTAGTGGCAACACTTATGAGGAAACCCTCTTATTATTTCTACTTTCAGCACATGACACATGGTCTGCAAGACACTAGCATCAGCAGCAACAGATATCAGCAACAACTGTCCCAACCCAACTGTGAAGTGAAACCATATGTTAAACAGGGTGATTTACAGCACTGTGGAAGGCGGTTATTAATTAAAAAAAGAGTATCTTCTTACTCCTGCCTCGGGGGGGGGGGGGGGGGGTTAAAAAATCTGTCCCCCGTGCTCTTTGTGCTGCGTTCACGATTACTCATGCCAGTAATGAAAATATTATTATCATCGCATCTATCTAGACCGTGAGTTTGCCAACAGTGAAGTTACCTGATCCAGCCCATGTCTGCTTTAACCACAGGCGACTGTGAATGTGACTGGGTTTGGAAAGGTGACGGGATGGGGTCTTTTCTGATATAAAGAGTCTTTTGTTTAGCGGAGGCAGCCGTCCAGAGAGCTGCTCTAATCTGTATCCTCATACAGCACATCTATTTTCATTCATTTCTATCACAGGAGGAGCAACGGGGAGAGGTGAGGGAAAGTTTAACAGGCAGTGATGTCAGCGGCGGGTGAAACTTAAGACAGATCAATAAGATCAGCGTGGCTGGAAATATCATGTCTACCTGTTGAGGTTACATCACAGACTGTGCTCTGTTTCAACATGATGTTTCAAGCTTTCAGCTGCACATTTGAACTGTTTTTGATCTTTAAGAAAAAAAAAAAAAAAGATTTTTTTATTTTTCTATAGATCTTGTGTGGGCTTGAATCCAGAGTGAAACATTTACTAACATAATAACATAATAACACAGCCAAATAAGAACAATCAACAACAGCTATAGATTTAATGAGGTGAAAAGAAAGCACAATTAAAAATGCATTATTTATCGTTTAATTACATGTAGGCTAATTAAAATAGGAATGGAATAGGATAGGAAAAATAGGAATTTTTTTAGTTGCAACATAAACGAAATCGAAGACAATAAGTGCAGCAAATGAGCAGTTTAACTTTCGTTTAACACTGTATTTTTACTCACACTGTAAGGTCTATTTTCTACGTTTTAAATGGTCTCATTTTTTTGTCATTAAAAATAATTTCATTAACATTTTTGAAAGTTAAGACACCTGGAACTTTTTCTCGCTTATACTCACTCATATCAGAGCTATCCATAACTTCAACAACATTTTAATAGCTTTTAAAGTTGTGGGGTAACATGCACGCTGAAAAGAATCACTTCAGAAACAGTAATAATTTCTTTTTCTCTTTTTATTCTATCTCATTTTTAAAATGTCTTTTCTGCATTTTGTAAGAGATAATTTCATTGGATGGCATTAGGCCTAAAACAGTGTCATGCGCGCAAACACCA